TAAATATTCATAAGTTTCTCCCAAAAAAAACTAGCAGATGTCATGATAAAATCAATCATCACTGACAAGTTCATATGGTGTCGATTGTTCTAGTTTATTAGAATCCAAGGCAGAATGTAACTGGTAAGAAAAAGAAAGATTTTGAAAACTCACCAAACGTGACTTTAAACAGGAGATTGACGTAAGGCATAAAGTCATTTTTGGTGGTTAAAGTCAAAGGAAATTGCAAGTTACTTTTTTACTCAAATTCAGTTGTTATTCATTCAAAGAATTTGCTCATGTTACTGTGCAAAACACGAAAGGAAAGTGGAGGATATATGTAAGGGTAAAGTGTGTGTCATTTTAAAGGATGTAAGTTGTGTCATTTTAAGAGAGAGAAAGAGATAGATAAAGTAGGAGAGAGAGTTGACAAAAAAAATAAAGGTGTGGGTCTCACCTCTTTGTGAGAGTAAAATGATATAAGTTGTGTCATTTAAAAGGATAAACATTTTTCCTTATATGTAATTACACAAATTCTCCCGCCTATAAATAGAACACATTTCTTGTTGTTTTAATCATCTCAAACTCAGTGAAGAAAAAATAAATAGCATCTTCTGAGTGTTTTCTATGAATATGGCATATTTTTCTAATTTAAGAGAGAGGAATATTATTTTGTTTTTGCATTAAGGGGGCATTTTGTAGAGGAAAAAAAATGTTGCCTGAAAAAATGATTTCCTGGAATATGGTAGGAAATTTTTTTCCTTAGGAAAGTTACTAAAAGGTGTTTGGTATGCCAAATTTTTTTCAAAAATATTGAGTTAATTTTACTGATACTATGTTTTGTTGATGATAAAATATTAATGGGAATCTGAACTAAAATTACAAAATTAACATGAAATTTTTATTTTACCTCTGCATTCTCTCTCTCCAGGGTCATTTATGACTTTACTTAATTGATTAGAAATTTGGTAGTGTGATGGAATTTTTTTTTCCATCCCAACAATGGAAATCTTTGATAGCAAATTCACGTAGAAAAGCAATTTCCGAGAAAAAATATAGCCAGGTATCTCATCATTTTTGCTATCAAATGTGGCTTTTTTATTTTTCTTAGTAGGCTTTCCCAGGTTTGTAATTACCGTGGTTTTTCTCATATCAATTGAGGATTTTCCACATTAAATTTCCAAATATGTCAATTCCTATTTTTCTCAACTTTATTTTAGTTGTATGATAGTCTGGTACTAAACATTGTTCATCGAATAGTTAACTTATGAAACTGCATAATTAAAAAAGAATGTGTAAGAGTGGTTATTTGTCAAACAAGTTTTGCGGGATATAAGTATTCATTATTCGAAAATTAATTGTCGCATAAGAATGAGAGAATGTCTTCTATGGGATCTTGAGGGCCAGGCATGAGGCAATGTTTTGAGATGTAAGAATGGTGGTGCCATTGTAGTGGGATAGAGGAGATTGAATATACTTACGTATATTATGGGATAATAATCTTGTTCTGAAAATCGATTTAACTCTTCTTATCCGTAAATATAAATATGTTCTGCTAAACCAAATTAAATTTGCGTGTAATTATTTGTGACGTTTTCTTGAATTACTAATATGGAACACTCTCATAAGAGTTGAGGTCTTCAAATCAATAAATCTAGCAGTCAACTCCCATCACGAATGCCATGTATAAGTAGGCTTGGACTTTCGCACACCATACATGTACATATACTGGCCCAATCCAAACATTTATAGGCTTACGGCCCCATCAGAAGCTAAAAGCGCTTCGTCTCTAAAATCATCGGCTTCTGTTCGTTTTCAGTCAGTGGAATGGTAGCGGATGACGCCTGAACTCGATCGCAAGTATACGAAGCAACTTCGATTTTTCGTGGACACTCATTTCCTTATTCCATTCCCGTTGAATAGTAGATAAAAAAAGAAGTGGAACAAGAAAATTGACTTAATTCAAATTTAAAAGAAAATATGTAAACTTGTATGAATATAAATTAGTTTCAAAATGTACACAACTGATCTACATGAACTAGTATAAAATAAATAAATAAATTTAGTAAAACTAGAGAAACAAAAAAAAATTATTCAGAAAAATTGAAACACGAGTATAGATCCGTGAGTTGGGGTCAACAATGGCCCTGTATTTTACTCAAAATAATTAAAAAATTAATTTTTTAAATGGTTATCAAACACATAAATTAACATAAGGTTTTGAAAGTTGGTTTAACATATACTTTCCGAAATTTACCCTAAATTTTTGCTTTAGTGCCGCATTTTAACAACCGGACTTGATTCCTTTTCACCCTTGAAATTTTAAAGTACGAAATATCACATGTAGGAAATTTTCTTTTTCTTCATTTTTGTGTGTGTGTGTGTACAAAATATTAAACGAGACCTGTGCGTTGGTTTGGGAAAGACCATGTCAAAGAACACCAAGAAGCCAACAGGCACACCAACTTAAAAGGATATGTAATGCACACATCTACATGTACGTTTGCCCCAAACAAAACAAGTCAAAAATTTGAAAGAAGAAAAGTCATGACTCAGGAGAATATATATCAACCGAATGCGCGTAACAAGAAAAATGTTCTATTAATGATGATATCAACGTTTCTAGCGAACTAATACCCAACTGGCAAAAAGTTTATACCTACTAACAGACACACAAAGACATATGAAAGGAAATATCACACGCAATATGTGGAAATCGTTTCTACGGGGAAGAATTAACAAGGTTATTTGGAGAGACAAAATTGGGAAGTTGGTTGGGACTTGGGAGTGTGTGGAAGAAGGCGAAGGCCCCATTTGTCATATCATATATTTTTGTAAAACCGAAACTCTCAATACTAATTAACGTGTTAAAGACGGTCCTCTAATTATAGGCTCTACTTAGCTCCTAAGTCCTAACTCATAATAATATTCTTTGCGGTCGTACTCGTTCATTAGTCACAGGAATTAACTGCGGTACTGCACAGCAGGAATTAACATAAGTCATCACAATAAAACAATTCTTATTCCTTTCTGTTGCAATCCGTGAATAGGGGTCAACAATGGCCCTACTTATCTAGCTATGTAAATTCGTATCTTGTTTTGTTGCACTGATCGATCAGCAATCAATACAAGTACTTCATTTTTCTTGCTAGCTTCTCAGCTTCCTTTCCTCTACATATGTACTAATTTGTTTCACCCAAGTATCTTATTAACTTCAGGAAACCAACCATGTGACTACTTCCGTATATGTATACGCCAGAAGAAAGATGCTGTCTTGTTTTCTCTAGTTTGTTTCACTGTGTCCCATTCTACTCATCGCCACTGTTGGTATATATATATATTCATCATAAAAAGGTACGTAACAGGAAATACTAAATTCATCGCGGATCACCAAAAAATAAAAATAAAAGAAAAAAGTGTATGCTTCTTTTACTTTTAGCCTATATAAAAAAATAATTTTTTTGGTTTCTTGCCAACAAAAATAAGCATGGGAAAGAGGAGACTCGCTAGAATGAAATATTCATCATGCATCAAGTCTGGACTTTTTTTTTTTTTTCATACTTTAATTTTAATGCGCAGTTAATAAAAAAAGTTTAATATGTATATTTGTTAATGTATTATCACCTTTCAAAAAAAAAATTAAAGTATTATCACACAACTAATAATTTGACTTCTGATATAATTATTAATATAGTCAAATTATTGGACGATTGTATAATTTTTTTACTTTATATATATATATATATATATATATATATATATATATATATATATAACTCTTTATCAATAATACGGAGTATATAAACTTCACATGTATTGTGCACCATACGTTCAGCATTCCAAATTATTGTTAGTATTATGATTTAATTTTCTTTCGCTGAAGTGAAAACCATAGATAGTGTTTGAAGCGAAAGGAATTTTTTTTATCTACTTTGCTGCATGGCTTAACATGCGCACATACAGGGAATGGAGTTCTATTTAATTTTCCGTTGTTAAATAATAATATAAATTTAGATATATGCTACAATGAGTTAGCTTATAATAAAATAATTGGCAAGATCAACCATTTGTATTTATGATAACTGTATAGCTTTAAATTTAATGATTTTTGGTAATTGACCATAATGTATAATTTTATAATAAATTTTAGATGTTGATATATTGACTTTAAAATATTACTTTAACTAATGTGTGCTGAAAAAACTTATACAATAAAATATTGAATTAATTAAATTAATGCCACTCAAAATCCTTCCTTCAAAACAAAATTACGGAAAAGAAAAATAATGTAATTTACCGAAAAAAAAATAAAAATAATGTAACTATATTGGACGCGCAAATATTACCGATTTGAAAAATGATGACCACTGCCAGTTACAGTACTATTGCTATACCGAAAATATACGGAGGCAAATACATATCCATCTCTAGTGGATGAGATTCTTTTCATCATCGATCCTTTTAACACACAAGTTGCAGTCTTAAGCATATAAATGGGCGATGGGTCTCGTTTGAATAACCTAGCACCTCAAACACCAAACTAATTGAAAAGGTATCTCTTATATTGGCCAAAAGGAAGGGGCACAGACAAACCAATAACAAAAGTTGACATATACGTATCATCAAGCAACCAATTCTTATCGGCGCGAGATATTGTCTTGATGAGGGTGAATTAGGGACCACAACCACCAAATTATCTTTGATATTTTTTATTTTATTTTTTTTGTAATTCTTGTTCTTCTTATAGCATCCAACCAAAATTGTACAGCCAAATGTCATTGTCCTTTTTTTAAAAAAAAGGTATTTTCTTTTCATAACAAAAATACAAATATCTTCAACCCTAACAAAAGAATTTTATTTGCCACTTAGGCTCTTAGCTCAGTGCTGAATGGAAACGTACCCCTGTCGAAATAGTCTCCTCAGGGGATCGAATTCCAATTCCAATTCCAAAATAGAGGAAACAACTGGTTAATTAATTAAAAATACAAAAGATGATTAAGTAAACAAAATCTGTATAAAAATTGCAGCAATTCCAATTCCAAGATATATATAAGCATGAATACACATGTTGAAACTATACGTTTATCTAACCAAAGTGTAGCTTTATGTATGGAAGCATTGTGTAGTATATATTCTTTATACGTAGCTAGCTAAAAGCAAAAAAAAAAACTAATTATCTCTCTACTTAATTTCACCAACTTACCCACGATTCATTTCAGAGTGAAGTTTAAATAACTTTTGGGATCAATAATTTATATGGAGAGTCCTATCCTGCCAAGTCATGGAGAAGCTGTGCGCCCATCAAATTCCTGTATGGTAGATTTTGTCCTTCGCCATCCAAAAGAGAGTACTGAACTGTTTGACATTCTTCAATCTGGTCTCTTGGATAGAACAGTGAACTCTGAGTTGCTGGTGGAAACGCTAAGCTCACCCCGCTTCCTCCTGCATGCTGCTGTAACCCTAGCGTCAAAGACACTCCACCGTTGAAGCTCTGGTTGGCATTCTGATCATTACTATTGAAAGAAACCATGCCGGATGAGTGGTGCGCGTAAGATGAAAAATCAAGCTCCACAGACCCAAATGTGTCCGTGACTCGTCCCAAACATTGTTCTTGGGGATTCATGTGGTGGTGGTGGTTCTGGAGTGTTTTGGTGCTGCTCTTTGGGTCGTTTTTGTTATCAGGGTTATGGTGATTGATGATGGTGGACACACACTCGGAGTCAATTCGAACAAGGCGATCCGGTGTTGGCTTCTGATCCTCAGGACGTGATGAAGATGGTAGGTTTTGAACATTCGGGTTAATTTCATCGTTGGGATCGTTACCCCCTTCCGAGGAAGCCATATTGTTTTCACGCTCCTTCACTTCCTCCAAGTACATTTCCTCCACCATTGGCTTCCATAGCCTCACCCTTGCATTAATAAACCAATTCGATACCTGCTTCGAAACATACATGTCACCGAACGGGGTTTTCAATTTTCAAATCAATATTTATATGTAATTAATATTATTATAATATAGGACTTGGCTTGGTCCTATAATGATATGTTTAGTATATATTATGAATGACTTAAAGGCCGTGTACCTAACTCTTATTTGATTATGCAAAATAATTTACGGGAAATCAAAAGTTTATATATATGTTAGGGAGAAATATGTACGTGCCTGGCTTCTCGAGAGACCAGTTTGGCGGGCTAATATATGTTTATCAACATCGCTTGGGTACCTGCAAGAGTTTACCCTCAAAAAATTAATTAAAAATATGACATTTAATTGTACCTAGTAATTAGTGATCAGATATATATATATATATATATATATATATATATATATATATATATATATCACTAGTTGAAAGTAGGGATCATACGGAGGAGATATTACCCACAGAAAAGAATTAGTAATAGAAAGTGGACCATATTAAAGGACTACCCAAATTTACGTATATATAAATATTATAACAAAATACGAAAAAAATGGAATCTGAATAGTGATGCACAGAAACTACCAAAATGTACCATCATAGTTTTTGCAAGCATAAATGATTGAGATTCTCCACGAGAAATCAACTTGCAGTTGTTCTCTCTCTTTTTTTATTTTGGAGAGAACATTGATTCTTTTGCGAAATCTATTTTGTAGGTTACTTATATTGGGAGGTAGCAAGCAATTACAGAAGAAGAATATTAAGCAGAGAGAGAGAGAGAGAGAGAGATTTACGGATGGAGAAAATGCTCAAAAAGCCAAGCCCTCAGAACGGAGACGGATCGCTCGGGAAGACCACGTTGGGGTCTCCAAGGATGGGTTTCCATCATGCTCATTTGTTGAAAGGCCCTTTGTTGTCTCAGTGCTTGGTCAATGACTTTGAGCCTAGGGGTTTCACCCCTTGTTGTGCCTGGTGCAACTGGATCTTTCTCTCCCATGGCTTTCCTTGTCGCCTGAATCTGACCCAATATTCCATCCTTTAAACATCTGAAATGTCTCGACATGGCTTTCAAAGCCAAAGCCGAGTACACTGTGGCAGCTCCATTGCCAGCCACTGCTTCAAACGACGATACCACCGCCTTCATCTGATTACGGTAGTGCCTGTACCTTCTGTCAACCTTGAGAGAGAGAAAAAAAAAAAAAAAAAGGCCAACAAAAGTTAATACATAAATTTTTATTTTGAAAGTTAAAGCTACCATAGAATAAACCATGCTACATATATACAAGTGTATAAAAGAAAAGAAACTAAATGAAATTAGCATGCATGTTGCCAAGAAAAAAGAAAAAAGAAAAGAAAAGGGGATATATAATTATAGAGGTTTGTTTTGTGAAGGTAAATAAAAAGCCTTAATTGTCACGATGCGGGCATTAATGAAAAGTCCGTAGTGGCTGCTCAATTAGTTCAGGAATCAAAATCGAAAGACCCCAAAAATCCCATCAACAACCACACCACCAAAAAGTTAAAGGACCTGGATAGATAGATACTAATTCACTTGGAGTAAAAGCACAATTTTACTCAAACCTTTTTCATATTTTGTGGAACGATCGATAAAGATATTTCCTTGCAAAGTACAAAGGTGGGGAAAACACTCTTAAATGTAACGAAACAATAATATTCGGAAACATATATACCTCTTCCAGCATCGAAAGCAGCTTTGTCTTTCTCTTCTGCAATTCCACGAACTCTAGAGATGTAAGAGAGTGCTTCTTTGAGGAACTGCTACCGTTATCCTCTTCCCACTGCTTGTTCTTGTTGGGCTTTTGCTTTGGCAAATCGCTTTGCTTCGTGCCCAAACAACAAAACTCGTTCAGAAGGTCCTGTGCAGGTATCAAGTACTTGGAGTTCTTGAGCAGGAAATGTCCTTGATAAAGATTCGCAGCTTTAGCACTCAAATACCCATCTTGCAACATCTGTTGTTGTTGTTGTTGTTGCTGTTGATGAACATTCGTGGATTTCCCGAAGAGTCCCTCTCTGGAACTCGACGAAACAAAATCAGGTTGTCTTAGCTCAAAAGATTGCAAGCCAATACTGGAAGGATTGTTTGAACTAAGAGAGAGTGAAAGACCTTGACTTGGCCTTTCGTTTCCTTCACAAGGGAACACACACCTCAAAGAAGAATCATCAACGAGTAATCTATTCTCTTGCCATGGAACTGAATCATGAGCTCCATCGATTAGATTCTCACCACTTGTTTCTGAAATCCCTGATGTGAAATCTGGTTTGTTACTGTACTCATGCTGGTAGAAATTACTACTAGACTCGTTCATAGTCTTGGAAGAGGAAGGACCTGGATGTTGACCAGGTCTTCCGAAGAAACTTTTCCACATGACTGAGTTGGTGTCACTCTGTTGCTGCTGAACGTTCTTTGGAAACCCTATCATTTCCATGCCTGCGGTGAGGTTGAACATCTCCGAGTCGGAGACAAAGCCTTGGATCTGGTTCACTAGATGAGTTTGCATCGTTTGGTTACCCGATGATACATCCGTGTAGCAGAATCCAGTTGAAGACACCATGTCCCTCGATTTGTCTTCACACAGTTGTCGAGCCATGAATGAAAGCTTTGCGTATGTTAATTCTTCTCTGCTTGTTACTATTGTGCTGCTTCCACTTTCGGTTTCTTCTTATGTTGAAGGGATGTTGCTAGTTTCATCAGGATCGAGTCTCCCGCAATAGAATCTAGAAACCACAATTGAAAAAGCATATAAGAAGAAAGGAAGAAAATTGAGTAACTAGCTTGTTTCTGTGGAAGGTAATTAATTAACTCTAAGATCTTACCGTAATGGAAGAGTGGATTGTAAAACCGATCAAAGTAGTGGTGGAGGGAACTAGAAGACGACGACGATGAAGATGGTAAATTGGAGAGTAAGTGATGAGAGGTTCTTTTTCTCAGACTTATTCTCTTAATAAGCCAACATAGAGTGACCACGAAAACCAACCTAAGAAGAAAGATGAGATATACTTCCTCAGAAATAGAAGAAGATCAGGTTTGGGGTGATGATGACCTTCATGCCATGTTCATCATTTGATATCTCTCTCTAGCAGAAGTGGGTCAATGGACCAAGATATAAATACAACCAAAATAGACTTCGTTGGGTTGGATAAAAATAAATAAAAATAAAGGAAATTCCCTCAATTATTTCTTACTTCCAAGCATTAAAAAACATCTAAAACCAGCAACATAAATAATATTATTATAAAATTAATTATTTTAAGTTGAATGAAAATAATTGAATATAAATAAGCATTGTAAGATACGAGTATTAAAAAAAAAAAAAAAACTGACCTTGTCTACAAAGTACTTATGAAGGACCAGGAACAACAGAAAGTAATGATCGTCCTTTGCCTGGTACCTATACTACAAGCCGCCACATGAGTTGCTCTCTGATTTACGAAAATGTTGATTTTGTAACAAATATTGCTTTTTCCACCCACAACCAAAACCAACCCAAACCCAAACCCATAATAATGCTGCCATGATAGAAATTGTAGATTTGTATTTGTTTATTGTTTCGCAATCACGAGCCTTTGGGAATTTTTATTTTATTTTTTTCTCTAAAAAAATGGAGATGGGATTATGAGGATCTTTGTAGGGAAACGAATCCCAAGATCGAAGTCAGCCTAAGTAGGAGTCTTTTCCAGGCTTTTTCAGATGGGTTTCAGCGAGAGAACTCTGTTTGGGATGAGTTTGTGGGCCATACTGCCTCCCTCTGTTCCCTTCCTGAACCAACCCCCCCAAAAAAAATAATAAAAAATAAAGGGTAGCACAAGCAGAGTTTTCTGTTCTGTTCTGTAATCTGTTCTGTTCTTACACAGCAATGAGAGAGAGAGAGTGAAAAGAGAAGGAATAGATGCGCCTGGGTTTGTGTAAAATGTTCCTAAAATAAGGGACTGAGCGTGAGATGAGATATTGAGATGAGGTGGTCCAATCTTTGCCCATCTAATTCTTATTAATTGGTGTATTAAAGCACTCCACCCATCCTCCTATCTCCATTTTGCATGGGACCGCATCTTTTCTTTTTATTTATTCATCATCCAAATTATGCCCCTTCCACGCGCATTTCTATATTCTATTATTCTCAAACCTCCATCACGACCCAAAACTTATCAAGAGTCAATCTAACTGTAATTAACCTTTTATTAAACAGGCACTAAGTTAGGTTTTACTTAATTCTGCGGGCCATTTAATCAAATGATCATAAATCAAAAAGTTTTGTGCAAATTCGGTTCCAATATATATAAGGTGAATGAACTCCGTGCTATATATATGAACATTTAATGTTTTGATGTTAGGTTTTAATTTGTTCGTCAATGATTATTGGCGATTTGTCATTTTGTGATTGAAAATGATCATAATGTTAATAGTAGGTGATTTTCAATCAAAACCAGCTCCAAGCATGTTTTGCATCATGTCTATATTTGCTTTCACATGTTTTAGAAAACATTTTTCTTCTTTTTGGCATTTCGATTTCAAGAAGATGATAAATAATTCACACATCATACATGTGAATAATCTCTGTTAATAATACATGGAGATGGGATGTTTAAAGAATGAAGAACTTGCTCATTCATATATGGCCATGCAAAGAGGCCACGACAAAGGAGGGAAGACACGCGCGAGGGATGAGAGTGGAGGAGTGAAGGTGGCGAACACAGCTTTAAATGTTTGTCTAATAAAAAGCAAGTGGTCCAGTAAGGGTAGCTTTCTCCGCCGCTTGCCAAATTTCTCTCCTCCCCTTTGCCCTACACCACAATTATGACGTCACTCTTCCTTTTAACACTTCAAAGTTCAAACTTCTCACTTCTCATTTCTCACCCAGCTTTGTACTTACTCGCTGATGGTGTGTGGGCCTTTTGGGGTGTGCACTACGCACAATGCGCTTTCTAACACCGTTGATTTTTTATTTTATTTTGTTTTGTTTTTCCTCTATTTATTTATTTGTTTTTTTGTCTTTCACAAAAAATGTTGTTGTTGGCTGTTCGCCCCACGTAACTTTCACTGAAGATTTTTTTATGTGTATGGCTTTGTATGTTTTTCGTGAGGAGTTAATAATGTAGGAGACTACAAACTGCAATCAGACGGTATCTTAACCCGCCAATCCCTCTTTCCCTACGTGTGTATACATTCCCATCTACGAATAAAAAAATACAACACATTGTCAATACGGAAACAAATGAATGAAAAAGGTGGAGTGTACGAACTTTATTTTGTTTTTCAAAGAAAATAACATAAGAGTAAGACTTAGTTTTCAAATTTCAAAGACCAAGAAGGGGGTCATGGCAGTGAGAGAGGGGTCAATTAGGGACTCCACAAATGGCGGGGGATTGTGTGTGTGAAAGACCCTGTACAAGTCTGGAACTTCATTAACAGCAGCCACATTTTTGAACAGGTTTGAAACTTGTAACTACATGCGACTCAACCAAGCTACCAACTATAGGGTGGTCCATCTTCAAATTTTCTTTATCTTTATGCATATGAAAAAAAAAATACTTTTATTTTATTCGTACACTATTACACCATTAGTACATTTGCGACTACTGGTGAGGACCATCCTAATCCTATGCTAGGGTTACTGTTATTGAAGCAGGAAGGGCATGCATAAGTGGGAGAGCGCCAAAGAGAAAATCATGCAGCTTTTTTAATTAGAGGAACCGTGTCTCAAATTGAGAATGACAAACGAAGGAGCTGGAGTACTTTTGCAAACCCACCGACTAAATTAAACCATGCTGTATTTAAAAAAAAATAAAAATTAAACCATGCTGCGTTCATAGTTATCAAAACCAATAATTATACTTATACAAAAAAAAAAAAAAACCAATAATTATATTCTTTGTCCCCATTATCAAAAATCACCAACAAGCTTAGAAATTATGTCATGCGCTAGGTTTAAGCTCATGCATTAACCGTGTATCTACTTCACATTTGCATTTGCAGCTAGCACGGTAAAAAAAATGAGTCTAAGAACACCTTACGTCTTTGATCTGTTCGATTGAATAATTCATTCATAGTTACTCTACTATTTTTTTTAGGGAAAAATGTGTATCATTCTAAAGGATGTAAAGTTGTGTCATTTCAAGATAAAGAAAGAGATAGATAAAGGAGAAGAGAGAGTTAACAAAAAAAATAAAGGTGTGGGTTCCACCTCTTTGCTAGAGTGAAGGGATATAAGTTATTTCATTTAAAAAGATAAACACTTTTTCCTTTTTTTTAATACCAAGTATTGGTTCTGGTATCATCTACAGGTCTTTTGCGCAAAGAAAAGAAAAAGACCGAATTTTATGTAAATAAAATAAAATAAGGTGAATATTACATTTAATATTTGTATGTGCAAGACGCCACTCCTTTAAATATAAACATATACAGATATATACTCATTACACTTGTTGATAAGTGCATCTAATTAAAATATAAGAAATACATTACCAGCTATAGAGTTATATTGCTCGCATGCATACAGATGGAGTGACAATATACTTTTTATACGATCGTTGATCAACTGCAATACCTCATTTAATGATTTTTATTGTAGGGGTGTGCAGAAAAATCAAAAAACTAAACTGAATTGTGAACTGAACCGAACTGCTCTTAAAATAATCAGTTTTTGAAAATCAGTTCAAGAATCGAACCAATTTTTAAAGAAGCAGTTCAAGAACCGAATCAGTTTTTAGAAACTAGTTCAAGAACCAAACTGTTTTCGAATCTAATCGAATCGTTTTATCTCTTTATTTCTTTATTTTTTTTCTTTTCAGAATAGGTTTGACCGGAACTAGTTTCAAAATGAACCGTACCATTTTCGAACCGGATCGAAACATTTCCAAACTGAACCGAACCGATTTCAATTCGAACCTAACCGTTTAAACCAATTTGATTCAATTCTTAAAAAAATTCAATTCAACCCATGCATAGACAGTAATTTAATCAAAAAGAGTCACAATCAATACAAAGGAAAACATTTAAATAATTTTAAGAAACTGCGGGTCTGATTGATAGTGTTCTAGTTTTTTTGTTCTTAAAATAATTTTTTAGAATAATTTATAAAAACTGTTTTTTAGAATAAAAGAAGGAAAAAATCTGTTTGATAAATTTGTTTTGAAAAGAGTTTTAAAAATTAAAGAACAAAAAAATCTGATTGGTAAATTTGTTCTCACAACATGTTTTCAAAACAAATTTACACATTTTTCAGTCGATGATTTCGTTATAAGTTTATTCCTTTGATTTCGTTATAATAAAAATGTGTTTATTATGTGTAAATTTACACACTCCCTTTTTATTATAACAGCCAGAATGATTTCGTTTATTTTTTTGTGTTTATCTCTCTCCTAAAATGACATAACTTGTGTCATTTAAAATGACAAACACCAAACCAAAAAATAAATACCAATCAAAGAGAAAAAGGGAGTGTTATAGGTTTATCTGCCTGTCTTTTTATTATTGAATCATTCTGGCCTATTAGAAAAAGATTTATTATTGAATATGTTTCTGCTTCACCGATATCAACCACCATTATGAAATCATTATTCTGCTATGTTCCTCGCAATCCAAAATCAAATTCAAAGGTGACATCTTGCCAAGGTGCAGCTCACGATTAAAACGTATTTGATAAAATTATTGTAAACCCTCACTTAGCAACTAGAAGTAATTATTATGAAATTTAATAGATACAAATTTAATTAAGAAGAAAAACTTAAATATAAATTAAAAAGGTGATTCTAATATTATTTATATATTTTTAAGTAGCATTTACTTTAAATTAAAACCAATTTCCAGATTACTTCTCGTAACAGATAATAAGAATTTGAAGAAACATGCATTACCCAAGAAATTTATCAAAATGTGACCTTAGCTTAGTGCATTCAGTATATATATATTATATAATAAATGTTCAGCCACATTAGACGAGATATATAACACATCTTTATTTTGGACGAAGTACACTGTTTCTTTCATCTTCTGAAAGAACAATGCACATGGTGTATGTGGATTGTAGTAAGTTTAATTACAGTCGTGAATCAGCCCTTACCATCAACGGTTGAATATTTAAATTGTGCATACATTTATAATTCAACATTAATGTTGTATTCAATGAAAATAACATCACTGTTATATGATGATGGTTAATTACCGACTAGTTGTCCCCATCCACTCCATTCTTGTTATTTAGTTTTTCCAAATGTGTAATGGCTGGCAATTGCACCTAAATAATACCCTGCCCCTACCTTTCCTTAATAATTGTTGTAGTTACTTATTTTAATTTCTTAAACTGCATTCTCTATTTTAATTAGTCCCTGCTTTCATCTTACCATATGAAGCACAACACTCCCATTTTCAACACTTAAACATATTCACTTTTCCATTTTTGCTCACTCACAGTGCTTAATTTGATTATACTAATTATTTAAGTTATTGACCGTTAGTAAAATATTCTATTCATTCTTAATTTTCGAAATGAAATTATGCAGAAGGATAGTAACGGTTCACCCCATTTTTGTTGTTGAATAGACCATTGGACTGTCAATGTCCGGTGGATGGGCATATACAATATATGCAATTTAATTTCAGCAAACAAATCATAGCAGTCCTCCATCAAAAAATGACAGTTTTCCAAATCCGTTTTTAGCACGTATTAACTTATCTAAAAGAATGCCCAAAGGAACTTACAAGACGAAACAATAAGTTAAGCCAAGTCCTCTAAAATTGAATACGAAAGTGAAAGAAAATTATGGAATTGCAACATTTCATTAGCCAAAAATTAGTTTCCATTTTTTCATGATCGTATATTGGGATACCTGTTCAATGCATATAACTGAAATAATATTTTAAGTGCATGAAATAATATTCATCAAAATT